ACGCTGAATCGCTTACTCTTTTTGCCAAATACTTTCCTATGTAGACTCTTGAAATATTAAATCAAAGTCTACTTATATGTCACATTATATGTGTGTGTTAATGAATTTGAAACAACTGAAGGATTTAGCAAGTCTGACCCTAATTGTGTATGTAAACATTTTTGTAGCATATTTTAGATGATTCTGATGACGTAAGCTGTTAATTAGAATCTTCCAAAATGTATTTTTTGATGCTACTACCAGGCTTTAGAAATATTCAAAAACAGACAAACACTGGCTGTAGAACCCAGGTTTGGATTATTCCTCTATAATGTTAAATGTTCATGACTAATAACCAACAATCAAAAGTTTGGGAAAAAAGTTATTATTTATTTAGGGTGATTAGTGATTGTAACATACGCAAACGACTGATTCAAATGTTGCTAATGTCTGATGGTGCAAGGACATCATCTTTTTCCAACTGAGCCCCACCCACTTTAAATCAGAAAAAAGAGCAGACAAAAAACAAAAACAAAGTCGCTCTTTAAATAACCAAAACAGTGTTCATCATAACTGAGAAGATCAAAAAAGAGTTTTTGTGGCATTTAAATGTTCATTCCACTCCACTGTGTTACTGTGTTATAGTGCAGTGTATGGGGCCAATCAAACAGACGTGATAGAAAACCACAGATAAAGGCACAGAAGAGGGGGGTTTGGAGGGTTGACAGATGAAGAAACAGACAGAGAAGGAAACAGATCTCAAAGGAGCTGAAGGAAGATTAAAAAACACACAAAAGAAAGCACGAAGGGAATAAATGCGACGAGCAAGTGATGACGGATGGAGCTGCTGGTGTGATTGTCACTGGATTTGGCCTCTTTCCGAATTCTGTTTCTTGGAGAAGAAGAAGAAGCAGAAAGAAAAACCCAGAATGAGACAGCAAGACAGACAGTTTGACAGACAACGGGAGAAGAGAAAAAAAGGAGGAAAGGAAAGTAGAGAGAGAGACAGAGATGAAAGCTATTGACTCTGTGTGTACATCCGAAAGCCATAAGGAGGAAGTTTGATTCGCCGACTTTTATCCACTGTAATTACCATCTCCCACTGTTGCAAGGAAATTTTACTTATCTCTTTCTATGCTCTGGAACAAGTCTACTTGTTCTCTCTGTCTAACTTTCCCCAGTGCTCGATAACGCCTCTTCGCAGAGGACAGAGAGGGAGAAAAATTCAAAGACTTGAAAGGCAGATGAGGGAAACTTCACTCTGCGTGAAAGCTGCAGCATTCAAGGAGGAAGAAATGTGAACATCGAAAGCTAAAGCTCTCCCAGCCAGAGAAGGAGTAAAGGTAAAAGACTATACCAGAGCGGGCTCGTGTGGATGAGAAGAAGAGCATGAAGAATACCAAACGAGGGGAAGTGAGGATGGAAGATACAAAAGAGGGGAGGCAGAGATAAGAAGAGAGACTGATGAAGAGACAGGCGGAGAAGGCTGCGGGATAAAATAGGACAAAGATGAATGGACGCGGATGGAAAAGTATTGGTTTCACGGGACGGAGAGAACGACAGCAGGCCACGAGGGAACTGAAAGGGAACAAATAAGGAAGAAAAATGGAGAGACGTGTAAAAAAACAGAGTGAGATAAGAAAAAGGTTGTTAATTCATGACAAGGCAGGGTGAAAAGACAGAAAGCACCAGGGAAAGAGAGGAGAAGAGAAGAAGTGGGAAAGACAGATGGACTGAAAAGAAGACAGATAAAGGCTGAGAGAAATCAGTTATGGAGAGGGAAAGCCTGGGGGAAGAGGTAGAAGTTAAATAACAGGAGAGTGAAGGTAGTTGTCTTGTCATCAGAGTCATCGACCACCAGGGAAATCAGGCGTGAAGCTCAACTACAAGTCATTTCATCTACCATTGAGTCTTTAAAGCTCATTTTTTACAACACAAATGACAGTGTGTGAATGTAGAGACGCTGTTTCATTTGTTGCCCATGCAAATCAACTTGTTTTCTTACAACTTTATTAATTTGATTGTCACTGTACTGATCCCAGTGCAGTGGTCTGTCTCGTTTCAAAAGGTAGATGTTGAATAAGGATGATTTAAGTAGCTGTAATTAAACGTGAAACAACAGCATAAAGCTCTTGAGATGGACATTTACTAAACAGCCAAACTATTATATATTACTTTGCCATGCCTAGGCTTAAACTTAATAAATATTTTGTATGTACATATTTCAATGTGTGTCGTTTGACAGTTAACCATGTAGAGAGTGACAAGAAACACAGCAGGGGTACGACTATTGACAGTATATATAATGGCCAGAGCTTCCGGGTCCGTGAAGTGAAGCCAACACGTGTGTTAACCCTGCATTCTATGTAAGGGCCAGCAGGGGGAACTCCATTGGCTGCAATACAAAACTGCAGTCTGACCAAAGTTCTCATTTGATTTAGTGGCTCAGTAAACAGTCTCCTAATGAGTGTATGGGCTGAATCGCTAGTTTTTAGTCTTCCATTGTATCCTGCTACGGACAAGTTGAAACTGCTCAGCCAATGATAGCAGCTCAACACGCAGTGCGTCACCTTCACTGGCTCTGGGAAAACCCAAGGCTTCGAAACTGTATTCCACAAACCAATGGGTGATGTCACGATTCACAATTGGGTATGACATGCAACATTCCACTTGTACTGCATCGGTGTAGTCCTCCAATACAGATAATGTATCGGAGTTACTAGTTTCCCACATGTTAATCAAACAGTAATATCTTTCCCATTTCTACCATCCATCCTATACTGCTAGGAAAGTGACAACATCGAGTATGCTCAAACTCAGAGTAGGGCTGTGTATTGGCAAGAATCTGGTGATAAGATACGTATCACGATAGAGGGGTTACAATTCAGTATATTGCGAATTATTGCAACACTGTAAGCAATTGCGATTTAAAAAAAAATCTTATTTTAGGAAAACTATACTCCTGCATTTGTATGTATCACAGTCCCTGAAACATTAACATCATATCCCTCAGTTTACATTACAACATTGCTGTCTAGCCGTTGGGGGTGTAATTGATACAGTGTTTTTGAAAATTGATACAATATTACAAAATGAAATATATGGCCTTGCTTACAGTTTCGCAGTATATTGCCATACATTGAATCTTAACCCCTGTGTCATAATATGTATTGTATTGCCAGATTCTTGGCCATTCAAAGACCTAGTGGTTAGTATGGTACAATATTAGTATGCAGAATGGAATTGGGTCATGGCTACTACAGTAATTTGGAGCCTTTCTCAGCATGTACTTGGCTATAGACAGGGAATACAGGCTCCAGCTACGTCCAGTCTGTTGCTTGTTTGAACTGCTGACGGTGCTTTCTGCCACCAGTGAGGAAAAAGTTACTGATTCTGTCAGGGACAATGATGCTTCACTTATCTCAGCTCGAGGATTCTTGATCTTGAGAGCATGATCTCGTTTAGCTTTTCTTTTAGCTTATTCGACTTGAGTGAATAACAATTTAGAGATAATCCAGAAATGAGTCCATTTTACAAGTTTCTGTCACATCACAATGCTTTCGTCCACTCAGCTTCATTCAAACAGGAAATAGAATAAAGGACGCTGGTGCCTGTCCAGCCGTTAAACTCTGCGTGACTTCTTACAGATGACTATAATCCTCTTCTCATTCCAGTAGAGACCAACTGGGCTGCACAATACGGCGCTGCAGAGCGGCAGCGCAGTGTGCAGGCCTGCAGATGACCTCTGCACAGCTTAACTTTGTGTCCTGCTACTGCTTCCCCCTCCTCTCCCTCATTCCATCTCCACTTTCTCCTTGTTTATTTATTGTGAGATCTCAAGCCTCAAATTGACTTGTGGGATTGATTTGGCAACACCCTCCTCCTTCCCCTTCATTTCCCCTCCCTCCGTCTCTCCCTCAAAAGACTTTTGATTAATCCAGCGACCTCCTCTGCGAGTTTGCAGAGAAAAAAGTGAGTCAAATGGAAGGACGGAGAGAGAGCGATGAGGGAAACAGGGAAAACAAAAGAGAGATGGGATGCCTCTATTATACAGGCATAACGTTATGTGATCCGTTTGATAAGAAAAGCTCTTTTTGATTGGGGGTGAGAAAGGAAGCAAACTCTTTCTAGGGGAGGGGAAATAAAGAGACATGGATGTAGAGAGAAAAGAGATGAAATAATTGACCGTTCACTAAGCTCATTACTGTTGCTACGCCTGTCAAGCTTTCCATTTTCAGGCAGTACAGAGTTTACAATAATGGGTAGATTTACAACTTGAAGCCCTAAAGCCTGATTTTCGAAACAATGGATTCTGATTTCTAGCCAGTGACATCACCTGTTCTTTGTTTTTTTTTTTCAGCTCTAGCTAGCTAGCTAACTAAGCTAACATTAGTTTCATACGTTTTCTAGGGCCAACTTTTTAATGTTTCCAGCTGACTAGTATTAAAACAGGAACCCTGTGAAAGGGTCTTATGCATCTGATTGCTACATACTTGATATTGTGTTAAAAGGCTGAGGCTAAAGCTACTGTTACATGTAAAAAGTAAGTTTCCTAACCAGATGATGATCCATGTAGAAATAAACAGCATCCAACATGTATGTATGATGAAAAACTAAAATCAGACTGTATTTCGTTCTAACATGACCCTGTTTGGCTGCTTAGCATTCCCACTTTGTCAAGCAAGACTGAGGTTACTTTTTTGTATTCTAACAACCCAAAATACTTTTTAGGCTGAGAACTAACTCGTTTTTGGTGAATGTGACATTTTGGGATGAGCATAGCAATGTTACTCAAAGCAGCATAGGAGGCATGCAAGACCTTTTTTACATAACCCCCCCAAAAAAAAAACAATGTACTGTGTCATATAGGGTGACCATATTAAAGCACCAGATCGGGGCCCTGTGTATGTGCACGTTGCTAGCATACTAGCAGGTTCCATTAGAAAAAGCCGCAGGCTACCAACATCCTTGACAACAACACATTGATTGATTGACACACATACAGAGAAATCAGTGTTTAATTCAAATGTGTACAGGCATTGTTGTTTGAGGTAATGAGTGGGAGAGAACATCATAAACCTTAATGTAAGCGCTGAAAACAAGTACATTATTATAATTATTATTTAGTTGTGGTGAAAACCTGTACAGTTTGGTAGTGAATGTTGAAAACCAGGACATAATAATGTTTTACAGATATTGGTCAGGACTCTTGACCCAGCATGAAACCGGGACAGTTCTAGACAATAATACTGGTAATACCAGTGGAACCACCACTTTGGAAGTAACGCCCCAGTTACTACTGTAGGTTGTAAGTTAGTAAGCTGCACATGCTAACAATCACAGCTTACTTCAGAGCAGTCAAACACACTTTTCTAATTCTTTCCTTACACATTTACTCTTCCTTTTTTGGTTTTGGAGAGGGGAAAAAAAATACAAATCATCCAAACTCTTTATATATGAAGTGCTGCTCTCACATCACTTCAGTATGCAGAGATAAAAAAGTGCACGAGATATGCTCTCTTCATTCTTCATTTTATTATTGAGGGCAGCGCAGTGCTGCATGTGTGGCGGTGTTTTTCTTTCCGTGTGTGTCTCAGTGTGCAGCAGGTCACGTGGGGTCATCAACACCACGGTAAGGCTGCTGATGTACATAAGAGAGGGAGAAACAATAGTGAAGGGAAGAAGGAGGGCGAGAAGGAGGGAGGCGACGTGTGTGTGTGTGTGTGTGTGTGTGTGCCCTGCTCTATTTGTCATCCCAGCCACGGTCTTTGGTGACACCTTGTTCATTTGCGAAACCAACTGTTTGAGATGCAGGGATCGATCGAGCAAATAGGAGCAGGGCCCTGAAGATAGAGAGAGGAGGGAGAGAAAGAGGGGGTGAGACACGTGCTGTTTTCATTTGCACCAACACATTGGACACACATTTCATTTTTTTTGTTTTATTTTTACTTGAGTTATTATTCCTGTTTAATGTGAGATTGCAGTAAAATCTGACTACTCTCATATTAGCAGTAAAAATGTTAAAAAACTTTTCAGTCCACATTCTGCCTAAATTTAGTTGTAACTTGTAAGATTCCCTCAACTGGATGTGGAAGAAATCGTGAAACCAAATCTTTCTTGATAATTCCTGACACAAAAAAAGTCAATATCCATCAAAAATAAGACTGACAAGGTTTCAGGATTTTTTTCCCATTATGGCCAGCATCGACTTTCTATCTCCGTCTGATAACTTAACTTCCATCCATTATGTTGGCAGAACTTTTGATTTGAAATTGATTTGTTTAATAGCAGCTAATGGCTCCATGAATCTAAAACATACTCCTGAGAATTTTTCATCTCTATTAGAAATCAGTCATTTTGACAACCAAGCTGTCACTCTATAATGCACACTTGTAATTGGTCAAAGAAAGAATAAAATAACCTACAATGTGCTGCAAACTGCATCATAATGATGCTGGTTTCTATATTTTGGACCAGAATTTAAAGAAAAGTTGATCCAAAGACTTACATTTGTTTTATTGGAGGAGTTGGGCAAACATGACTTCAGCAAAAGTTCTGTATTAGGTATTAACTAAAGAGGGTCAAATAGAACTGAACAGATATGATGCTCCTTTCGGGAAGATTTGATGGTCTATCAGCGGGGCAGGCGTGTGGCTACTGAGAGTGTTACACCCGTGTCACAGGCTCAATCCCTACCAACAAAAGTTGAGTCCTCTTGTGTTCACTCATATAAGAACATTTCATATATGACTAGAATTAAAGAATCTCAACTCAAGGTCCATGACCAGCTGTTTCCTCAGCTTTCTAACACATCTCATGATTGTTTTCATGGTCAACCTAAAATATAGTAGTTTGAACTTGAGTTGGCTATTCCATCCACTGGTGAATATATTGTGTTGGGAGCTCCAAACTATTTCATCCAAGCTCAAAAATTATTATTAATTTGACCTGACCTTTAAAGAGATCGTTAAACATTCCTTTAAAGGAATTTAAGTAATAGTTTGAACAGTTTGGGGAATCCACTTAGTTGCTTTCTCGAGCGTTAGATGAATAATTGATACCACTATGTGTCTATGCGTTAGCTGTGGAGCCAGCACTTGGGGGTCAATTAGCTTAGCTTCGCATAAAGAATAATAATAAAAAAAAAACAAGGTATGTTTACTCGTATAACTCCTTACAAAGAAGCAATTCAAAGTGCTTTCACAAGACAGACATTTACAAAACATTTACATAAGACAGGGAGCTAGCCTTGCTCACTCAAAAGTACAAAAATATGCTTTTTGACACCTCTAAAACTTACTAATCAACACTTCTGTCTATCTTGCGTGTAATCCATACACAAACAGAAATGTAAAAAGTTGTGCCTGGCAACCTCAGTGATGATAAGATTCCAGGATGTCGCTAGAAAGAAAATGATACAGCACATAAGTCCCAGTGCACAGACACAAGAGTGGTATTGATTTTCTAGCATACTCTAGGCAAAAAAGCAAAGAAGCACAATGGCCAAAAACATTCCTTTAATTTCATTATTGCTCTAATGTGTCCGATCCTCTGAAGCTCATCTGTTTTGGTTGTCTTACTCATCCCAGATCCAATTCAAAGGCTTCAGGGACACTAATCGTCACGGTAGCGTTCGGTCATCGTGACCAATATGGTTAATGTGACCACAGAGCAGCTGGCAGCCGGAGGCCATTTTGTCAGTATCACTCAACTTACTGTGTCACATTTTATAAGGCACTGCTTTGGATGGTGCACACTCGCGCTGGTCGGAGAAAGGATAAACACACATCTGCATACACAGGCAAGCACATGTATATACACAGGCAAGTATCTGCATGCATGGGCAGAAAAAAAAAAAGACACCCTGACTAATTTCAAGAACATGTGGGCAACACCACTCAGGACAACAGATTCAAGCACACAGTGTGAGTGCTGTTTTGGTGGCCAGGTTAAAGCTAGTTTATATGGAGAGCTATGCACATAAGAAATCCAAGGTTCCATATGAAGGGGATTCAGCGAACTGCATTACAAAGTGCTGTTTACTGTGTCGGGACAGAGGAAATGAATTCAAAGCGGGCTCAGGAGATGTCACTTTCTAATGTACTGTATTCTTAAAGCTCTCTGCTAAGCTATGCTCTCTCTATCTCTCTCTCTCCAGCAGGGGAATTCTCCATACTGTCACTCCTGTCTTTGTCTGACCTCCGGTGTACCAGCAACCAGACTTTATTCCTCCCTAAATCTCCCTCCCCTAATCCTTCCCTGCCTCTCCCTCTCTCTTTTTCACACACTTTCTATCCCCGCCTTTGACAGATATACTGTACAACAGGGAGGATGAAATAGGAGACATCTGGAAAGCAATTGTCTTTTTATGCCACGAGGAAGCACTGTGAGCATTTAAGAGAAAGAATGATTGCTCTAACACCACTCCTGCCTCTCTCTTTTTTTTTTTTTTTTTTGTTTTTTTGCAGTGCAGTTCAACTTGATTCCTGTGGGGCTCAGGATAGTGGCCATCCAGAGCACCAAGACAGGGCTCTACGTTGCCATGAACAGCGAGGGCTACCTCTACACTTCGGTACGGTCAGCACATACAGTACAGTAATGCCGTAAGCCTTTAAAAACTTAATTTGTGATTTCATTACACCAGTCCTGGGTGAAAAACTGCCACCCCTCCGCTGGCTTTGTGTTTGCTTGTACTTAGTTGATTAAACACAGTGTACAGGCAGTGTGTGACAGCAGCACATGCATTCTTAATGTTGCTGTAGTGTTTCTTGAAATGAAGGTAATACAGAAAATATGTCTGGAGTTGCTTGTGGTTTTGAAAGCTTTTTAAGTCAGTCTGTGTGGCAACATCAGTTGGATGTCAAACTGACTTGTGATGACGCACAACTTTATGTTGCCTTTAAAAAGTCGCAGAAGAACAAAAAATGCATTTATTATTTATTCCCACATCAGAGCTGAAATCTGTACTGTAACTTACCACACACTGTTGATCACTGCAGTGGAAATAGGTAATTCACAAAAGAGTGCCATACTGCTGGGCCGCTGCTTGTGTCTCATCTGCTTTGACCAGGCTACATTTTGCATATACTTAACAGCCACTGTAAAGCAAAACAATACAAATCAGACATACTGATCACCATTTATAAACAGTATATATTGTCTAGTCCTCATTCATTCATCGAATGTTCAGCGTGTTGATACTGTAATTCACCATACAGTTGGGTTTATTTATCATATGGCAGTTAAGAAGCTTACAGATAACCGGGTTGTGGACTGTAAAAAGTTTTTGGCATAAGATCTAATAAATACAGCCACTGTAGTTTCTCCTACACACTTGACTGAGACTGAGCTGTATTCCAGTGGTTGCAATCTGCATCTTTACCAATATAATGGCACTAAATCCTACACACTGGTCCTTTAAGTTGTTTAGAAACTCTGCTAGCTTATTCACATATCAGCAGCATGCACTGTATTTAGGTATTTAAAAAGTTATTCCAACTTACAGTAAGTCACAAAAGTGAAACTTTGAAGTTAGACAAAGTCAAAGATGACAATTGTCCTTCTTAAAGTTGTTTTGAACTTTGTTGCCTTTAAATGTTGAGTTTCTCTACAACTGTACAGCGTGCCTCTGTTTTTTTAAGCCTCATGTGTCAAATTAAATATGGCTTTGGTTGCATAGGCAGACATACTTCTCTTCTAACCATAACAGTGCAACTGAGTATGCAAGTTGTGCCAGCTGTCACCAGGGATAGGATGATAGTCCATATACTACACTTTTTGTGTCCATCTACTATTTCCAAGATCAGGGATAAACTCAACTAAAGCCCAAGTGGATATAAATGTTTTCCTAAAAATGAATAGTAAATATTTTAGCTTTTATTGTCATTTTTATCATTACTATCTTACTGACCACAAACAAAAGAAGAAATTGCTCAGATGTAAAACAAACAATGTGTTCCCTTGTACTTGCACAGCGACAGGCTGAGGTGGTGACATCTGAAACTGTGTGTCTGCATGCATCTGTGCATGAAACTCTCTTCCCACTGTCGGTCACAGCAGCACTTGTATGCTACAACTTGTGAAACAGTTCATACAGTGCTTCAAGAGAGTTATTTTGCATTGATATGCAGTGAAAAGCGGCATAGCCGAGCCATGGATTTCAGGGGTAAATGGAAGAAAAGATAAAGAGACAGAGGGTGGATCAGAGTGCACTCTATAAGGATGCGGAGAAAAGCTCTTTTTTCAGCCTTTTTTCCCTCTTGGCACACAAGCAAAGTGTGTGAGATCTTGTTTGAAGTGCATCGGTGCGCTCACTTCAAAGTGACGCTGTCCGCATGCATACTGCCAGAGACAAGGAGAGGAGATACAGGGTTTCTATCAGGTAGAACAATGGAAAGTCAGCCTGGAAAGAACACACAAACACTCATACACAAAAGTCCTCCATCTGCTGCAGCAGAGCATGTGCTGCCCATTGCGCAATCATGAAATTATTTATGTACATTTTTATTTTATTTGAAAAGCTTTGGGGAAGCCTGCTTGCCCCAACATACAATCCCACACCAGAGTCTCTTGATTCTCTACAACAGAAGCCATAAGGGAAAATTGATGATGATGATGAGAGACAGGTTAAAAAATACCAGAATTTCCCCTGAAGTAGTGTAGTTTTAACTGTTAGTGCAACTTGCTGAAATGTCATAAGTAGCCCCAATCCATATTTTAACCTAACTCTAACCCTCCAACCCTCCAACCCCAAAAAACTAAACTTTTCCCCTAATGAGCCCCAGAAAATGGTCCTTGCACATGACTTTTCCAGGGCTTGGAACCCCCCTAGACAGTAAAAACCTTGCATGCACATACACACATACAGATATAGAGGTTATACTTACCCAGGCATTCTCCTGACAGAAGAAAGGTGACCCATTTTCACTAAGGGAAAGAACCACAAGGAAAGGGGGGGGGGTGTTAGAGAAAATCCCTCTGAGATGAGAAAGGAGGGAGGACAAAAGGGAGGAGGAGGATTTTTTCCCCCTCCTTTCACCTTAAACTACCTACTCTGCTATTGTTCTGTGCAAATGTGAATACCAGAGAGAGAGATAGAGAAGAAGACGGAGAACAGAAATAGAGGAGGAAAGCATGTTTTGCGCTCGTTGCCCTCAGGGTCCGGAGAGAGGCAGTGCGGAGCCTCAACACCCTGTTATGCAACTGTTAGCATGTGCAGGAAACAAGGCTCCTACGTCATCCCCTGAAGGGTAAGGGGGATTTTAGCAAGCATAAGCAGTCAAAGAAATAACCTCAATGTGAAATTTTAACATGGACATGAAGAAAAATAAAATATTTTGGCACATGTGCCATTTTAGGTCACAGGTACACATTTCCTTTTGCTTGCTGTAGTGGAAACTGCACTGTGGGACCGTGGGAGAAGGGGGAACTCTTGTTGTTGTTTAATTTCTTATGTGTGCTTTCTTTAAAGATTTATAATGAGGGAGATGTTTGAGATAATGGCTGTTAGTTTGAGGGCGCTTGTTTGCCCTGCATTGTGGGGAGATGAGAGAAAGGCAGGTAAGGGTAGCAAAAAAAGGGGGAGACAATATGGGTCAGCCATTGAGGTGAATAGGTTATAATGCCAAATAGCTGTTATTCTCCTTTAAAGCTGCTATTATAAATATTTTTACATCAACAACACATGTAATGACTACGTGTATGTGCATAAAGGTCGCTTGTAGTGACAAATGCACAGAAAATCGAACCCTACTCTGTAGTTCAACTCAGCTGTACCAAGCACTTCAGCGTCTCTCGGCTCATTGTTTTGGTTTTTACGGCCCACAATTTTACTGCTTTAGTTTACTCTGACTGCTCTCATTACCTCCGCCATTATGTTTTTGGTACCGTTTGATGTTTGTCTGTCAGCAGACGTACAGAGAAAGTATTTCTGGAAGGATGTAGCTTGTGTTTTAAGTATGAAATATACCTAAATACCCAGTGTACACAACCTGCTCAGCACCAAATGGCAGACAGACAAGCATTTAGCAGCTAAAGGGCCAGTATTACTTTGACAATTTGCTAAAACAATGTATATCGGACTTAAATTTGTCATGTGGTCAGAAACATGACTCTAAATAAATGCTTACAATGCTCTGTGACTGCTGTGTTCAAATAAGCAATAGTTTGCTACATGTTCACCATGCACTCATCAGCCATTACATTCTGGGCACTGATGGTGAAGTGAATAACACTGATTATCTGGTTATCATGGCACCTGTCAGTAGGTAGGATATATCGGGCAGCAAGTGAACATTTTGTCCTCAAGTTGATGTGTTAGAAGCAGGAAAATGGGCAGCGTGAGGGTTTGAGCGACTTTGACAAGGGACACATTGTGATGGCTAGACGACTGGGTGGTATCTGTGGTGGTATTCCCGGTCTTCAGAGGTCAGTACCGATCTAAAGTGGTCCAAAGAAGGAAAAGTGAACCGGAGACAGGGTCATGGGTGGCCAAGGCTTATTGATCCACGTGGGGAGAGAATGCTGGCCCGCGTGGTCCGATCCAACAGACGAGTAACTGTAGCTCAAACTGCCGAAAAGGTTAATGCTGGTTCTGATAGAAAGGTGTTAGAACACACAGTGCATCCCAGTTTGTTGGTATGGGGGCTGCAAAACATTATGACCACCAGGGTGCCCAGGTGGTCATCAGCTTGTCTGCTGCCCTCAAGTGGACAAAAAAAGGTTAATTTAGATTTAAAGAATAAGTGCTGTCCACTGTTACAACCACGTCTCCTACAAATAGCATTTATATACGACCTGCCTGGATTACCTTGGCAGGGAAGTGCTACATATATCTACTGCAGAGGTTTTCAAAGTGGGAGGCGGACCTCCCCAGTGGGGCTCCAAACAGTTTCACCGTTTTTCAAGCTTTATCTGAGAATAGGCCCACAGTCTTAGACTTTGGAAACCCCTGATCTACAGCACAGAATTTGTAGGTTAGATTAAAAAAAAAGGCACTTTAAAGCATGTAGTGTCTCCTGCTTCAAAACGTAGTTACTAGCCATGACAGTTACAGCCTCATGATTTGCTTTCCCAAGCTCAAATCAAGGAGTATTCTCCAGGGACATCAGACGAAAATACATGTAACCAAGGTGGAGAGGTGTTTCCTCTTCGGAGCAATAACAAAGGCTCACCTCGGCTGCGGCAGTGTTCCAGTGGCTACTCGGCATTAATCTTTCATGGGCCTCTGTGGCAGACGTGTTCCCTTCTGCAACCATACACACACAAGCAGATAATTACAACACTTATTTAAAGGATTTGAAAATGAAGTACCTCCTCCCAGCTGTACATTTGCCAGTAATGACTCAGAGAAATGAGAAAAGTAGTTTTCCAGCGTGGCCTTCCAAAACACCATCATTTATCTTTATTTATCAGCTGCACCGTTCTCATTCAAAGTCCTTTTGTTGTCATTTTTTGTGTTATCTTCAGTAGTTTTTTTGTTTGTTCTCTTCTCATTTATATTCTCTACTCCTCTGCAGCCACAACTCATTTTCCCCATGAGGCTCACTGAACTTTTATCTAATCACCTAATCTAATTTAATGATGTCACCTTTTATAAATATTTCAAATATTTGCGGTGACCTCAGTTTATGGCCAGAGACACAGTTCTTTCAGTATAGTTTGAAATGTGCTTGATTGTTTTACTTTCCTTGTTTGATATAAGATAAATTAGCCAGTAATCCCGGCCTCAAGGAGGAAAACAAGTGATTAGAGGATGGCCCCACAAGCAATTTTTGGTCAAGGTCATTTATGCCTATAGAGAAATTTTATTTCCCCTGTTTCCTCCACAGGGAGGTCAAAGGTTGGGGGGCTACAGAACAGCTGCTTTAGAGATTTTGTTTCTCAGTGACACAGCAATGTTTCGAACCAGGGTCCACTCATATAAATGTAGTTCTTAGGCTGCCTTTCCAACTCATGGGGTCCCTATGTTTGTTTAATAAAATCACCCTTGAACACACATTTTAAAGTGAAACCAAAATTATAATGAATTTTTGCCAAGACATAAATATATTTGGTGTCTTTTTGAGTGGTGGTCAAAATTGTAATTACTGAAAGGAAGAAATAATTAGAACCACAGAGTAACGTACAGAGTAAGTTGCTGTGAATGTGACAGTCAGCTCATTGGCCATCAACCAGTTGCCAGACCCCCCCACCCCCCCTCGTCTGACGAACACAACACTGAGTATAGGAGTTTACAGTATCACTCAGCAGGTGTTGAAATAACATCAGCGAAAAGCAAGGTCTAATGGGAACCAGAGCTACCGTTAGCAAGCTGGGCCGCAAACATAACAACATGTGGAGCCTACCGAATGATGTCAGGGACAGATGGCTTGAATTGCTAACAGTTGATAGCTAATGCTATTTGAACTTGTTGACGGGGGGGGGGTAGCCTTGTGTCACCATTTATAGGCATGGACAGGAAGGAGTTGAGGGGAACACTCATCCAGAGGCTTGAAGCTTGGAGGTTGCTCCACAAATAGGTCCAAAGTAGTTTTTTTGAAAATGCACAATGGCATACATAATTTACATTTCAGTTAGACTTTAATACAAAGTGAATATCTACTTTTGATTACTTTAGTTTGCACAGTGGTGTTTCCCCTGCAAACACACAGCATGAATTATTGATCACATGCAAGCGCTGTAAATCCCCCAACTCCCCTCTCTGGCTACGTTTAACCAGACGACACACTTACACCTCCAGACACATTTAACACAGCGGCAGTGAAAGCAGCTCCTGCCAGGACATTGGGGAAAAGTAAACAGGAACCTAAGAGGGGTGAACTTTTTCTGCCTTGAGAGTTGATGCATCTGCTGATAGAGAAGCTATAGGAAGCCAAACATAAGTAACACTTTGGAGCTTCTTCCTCAGGAGGGACGAATGAACTCATACGCCACCACAGAGCAATCCTGCTGTTAAAAAAATAACTTGCAACGCCTTAATCTCTTTGTGAATTTGTGAGTTGTTGTGCACAAGATCAATAAAAAGGGAATGGGAGTGACAGGCTAAATGATGGAGCGAATGTCCTTTTTGTCCTTACATGAGCCTCTTGTTTCAGGAGGATAAAAGGAGATGATAATAGAGATGAGAAGGAGAACAGGAGGAGTGAGTCACCACAAAGCATCCCTTCTTTTATGCATTTCCATTAAAAATGTGCAGGATGGAAATGGAGTTTTAGTTTGAAATGAGACACCTATCATAACATACGAGCTTGAAACGGGATGGAAACTGAAAAAAACAGACAGACATTTTTGTCCTTGTCATGCATGCACGTGTGTATCCATACAACACACAACACACTTGAATCTGAATTCAAGGCCGGGGCTCCTCGAGCTCCTTGAGGATGAGGGGGCGGCGGGGCATTTTGATTGACAGGACAGGCTGGTTCTTACCACTAGTAATAACAAACAGGGCTGGCTGTTGTCGCTGTCTTGAGAAGGGAGGATGCTGGAAGGAGAGAAGGGGAGAGGAGCAGCAATGGATGCTGGGAGGGAGAGAGTGGGAGAAGGATGGCCTGACAGGCCCAGACTCGTAGCGAACATAACGTCTCCGCTGGGAGCAACAACCGCCACCATGCTCATCCTTCTTCCCGCTTCCCTCCCCCCATCTCCCTTTATCCCCCCCTCTGTCTCACTTGTACAGCTTTTACTCGCCTGTCAGTCTGTCTCGCTCCCTGTCCGGCCATTTGTGTCTGTTGGCCTCTCTTGTGGTTTGTCTTTTTCTCTCCTCTCTGCCATCACGACGTCTCCTCCTCCCTTGCTTCTTGTCACCCTGTGAACCTCTTTTATTCAGAATATATATCCCTGTCTTCATGTGTCCCTTATCTGCTGTCCTTGTCCTAGCTCCGTCCTCTACCTCTCTGTTCTCCTTTCCCCTCTCTCCCTTTGTCCTCCATACACACAATACACGTTCAGAGAATTCAGATTTTTTACGTCTGTTCCTGTATATTCTAGGATCCATCTCTTGATGTAATATGAGCTGACAGTAATGTAGAAAAGACACGTACAGGTACTAAAACATGTTTTAAATACATTTCTGTGACAGCGTGTTCCTTCATATTTGGACTGAAAGGAAGCGTCTCCCCGGATACCAATCAAGTAATGTTAGTTTGT